GGGGGCGGGGCATTGCCTTGGCCCCGCCCCCTCCAGGTAAAGCGGGGACGTCCCGCTCTCTCTCTTTCGTCTCTCTCTCTCTTTCTCTCTGTGCCCCCTCCCAGCCCCGCCCCCGCCCCTTCCCCTGCGCATGCCGGGAAGTGTAGTTTGATTCCCCCTCAGGTTCCCTTTGTCTCGGCCTCCGTTTTCTTCCCCCGCCGGCTGCGGATGATGGGCGTCGTGGAGCAGGGCGGGCTGGCGGACGGCGGGGAAGGTTCGGCGAAGCCATGGACGGACCTTAGGGAGAATCAACCCTAGAACGGACGGAGGACCGTCCCTGACACAGAACCATTCGCCCGTGGAACTGCTCGCCACCAGAAGTTGTGCGAGCTCCATCCCGGGAGGTTTTTTTTTTTTTTCAAGTAGGAGGCTCAGCCCGTCTCGTTGTACGCCTGTCGTGCTCTGACGATAGAGGTCGATTGGGTTGGATTGGAAGAGATTGGACTGGCTGGGATGGGGTCTAGGGTCTCCTGCGTGAGCAAGGGGGCTGGGCTAGAGGATCTCTGAGGTCCCCCGCCCAACGCTGGGATTCTGATGTGGGGTGTGTGTGTGTGTGTGAGGTGAGTCCCCAGGGAATCCAACCCCATCAAGGTTGAAAGGGGCAGGGGGAATGCACTGGGGAGGGGGGGGAGCAGGACTTGAACTCAGCACCACCACCACCCTCCAAGTTGCGGGCCTACTAGAGCAGGGGACCTCCAACCTTAGCGACGCGGTGGACTTCAACTCCCAGAATTCTGGGAATTGAAGTCCTCCAAACCTTAAAGTGCCCCCCACCAGGAGAATATCAGAGGGGCTGATGATCTCAAGGGGACCCTTGCTTGCAGAACTTTTGACACCTTTGGGAAGGAGAAGATCTGGGTTCGGATTCTGAGGAATGGGGCTGGTTTCATTCCCCCCCCAAATTGCATTTCGCTGCTTCCACTTGGGCTGAAATCAGCGTCGATGGGGCATTCCCAGTTCTCGAACTTGGGGGGGCATTGCTGTTGGCCCCCCTCCAATCTAGCCCCCCCTCCACCCCCCCAATGCAAAGGGCCTGGGAGGGAATCCCCTTGAGTGCCATTCTGGGGACCCCCGGAGCCCCTCCCTGCCCCCTCCTGAGATTGAAAAGGTTTACCTTCTCATTGCAGGCTAGGGATTTCCTGGTGGCCTCCCATCCTGGAGTAAACCAGCCCACCACACCTGGCTGGGATACTTCAGGATTAACCAAGGTTGAGACCCAACCTGCTTGCCCCATGGCACCCTGGGAGAATCAAGGCAGGTGGTCCTCCACTTATAACCACAACCGAGCCAGGTGGTTGCTAAGTGAGTTTCGTTCCATGTTACAGCCTTTCTCGCCACCGTTGTTAAGTGAATCATGGCGGTTGTTCTACGAGTAACTGGGTCGTTAAGTAGAGTCTGGCTTCCCTGTTGGCGTGGCTCATCAGAAGTTCGCATAAGGGGATCACGTGACCCTGAAACCGTCAGCTGCCAAGTGGCTGAATTTGGATCAGGTGGGAATGTTGGTGGTAAGTGTTCAAAATGATCCTAGGTCATTTTCAGTGCCAACGGTCACTTCAATGAACTGTTGTAAGTCAAGGAGTCCCTACACTGCTCAAATTGGAAAGGGGCCCCCAGTGGTCATCTAGCAAACCCCATGAGATCAGGGCAGTCTTCAGCCCCTCCTTAAAAACCTTCAGCCATGGAAACCCTCCCCTTCCAGAGATAAACAGACAAGAGGTTTCCACTAGGGGTCAGATCTGATTGGGGGGGGCATAAGGGGGCCTTTGAAATCAGCATCAGTCCAAATAGAGCCGGAAGGGACCTTAGAGGTCTTCTAGTCCAACCCCGTGGCTGAAGCAGAAGGCCCTATACAATTTTGACTGTCCAGTCTCTTAAAAACCTCCAGTTACCTCCAGTAACCTCCAGTAACTACGATTTCTTGTGGCAAGTCGTTCCACTGGTTAACTGTCCTCACTGTTAGGAAGTTTCTCCTCAGTCCCAGGCTGCTTCCTTCCTTGGTGACTTTCCATCCTTCGCTTCTTCTGGTGCTTTGGGGAAGAGGTGGACCCCCCTCCTCTTTGGGGCAGCCCCTCAAATATCAGAACGGCAGCGTTGGAAGGGACCTCGGAGGTCATCTAGTCCAACCCCACCCCCACACACATATCCCCGCTCGAGCAGGAGACCCTAGCCTAGACCATTCCTGACAAGCGGCTGTCCAGCCTCATCTTAAAAAAAAAAAATTCCTCCCGTGTTGGAGCAGCCACGACTTCTGGTGGCCAGCAGTTCCGCTGGTTCGTTGACCTTCACGGTCGGAAAATGTCTCCTTCATTCCTGCTCCAACACGGGAGGAATTTTTTTTTAAGATGAGGCTGGACAGCCGCTTGTCAGGAATGGTCTAGGCTAGGGTCTCCTGCTCGAGCGGGGATATGTGTGTGGGGGTGGGGTTGGACTAGATGACCTCCGAGGTCCCTTCCAACGCTGCCGTTCTGATATTTGAGGAGTTGTCCCAAAGAGGAGGAGGTCTACCTCTTCCCCAAAGCCCCGGAAGAAGCGAAGGATGGGAAGTCACCAAGGAAGGAAGCAGCCTGGGACTGAGGAGAAACTTCCTAACAGTGAGGACAGTTAACCAGTGGAACGACTTGCCACAAGAAATCGTAGTTACCCCATCACTGGAGGTTTTTAAGAGACCGGACAGTCAAAATTGTATAGGGCCTTCTGCTTCAGCCACGGGGTCGGACTAGAAGACCTCTAAGGTCCCTTCCCGCTCTATTTGGATTGATGTTGATTTCAAAGGACCTCGGATGCTTTGGAGAATAGATTGCGCCCCCCCGTCTTCTTCGAGACAGCCCCTCCAATGCTGGAATACCGCTATCAGCCCCCCCCCTTGAAAGGCCCCCCCCAATGAAAAGCCCCCCCCCCAAAGGAGGAACCGTCTTCCGAGAGCTGCAGACACACACACACACACAGACACACACAACCCCCCCCCAAAGTGCCAGGGAATCGCACCCGCCTTGTGCCGCCCCGCCCCAGGAGGCTCCACCAAAAACCATCTTTGCAAACCCATAATAACCCCGCGGGAGAAAAGGGGGTAATTAGGGGCTTCCCCGATCGACCCAAGTGGCTTATTTTGTGGTGGCCGGCCGGGCTGCCGCCTGAGATTCTGCCCGCAGCTGGTTTCCTTTCCCAGCCAGAAGTGAAACTCGAACCCAGGACCCTCCCACACGCGACGTCTTTCTGGGGGGAAGTGGAGGGGGGGTGCCTCATCCCAGAGCAGGTGGAAGGAGAAGCTGGGAGGGGTGTCTGTGGTATGTCCCCCCCCCCGCCAGAAATAACAGCCTTCCTCAAACAGGAACCTGCCCTCGGTTTTCCCGTCTGCTTTGCACTTTTGCAACTTTCGTCTTTCCCCAGAATAACAGGGTTTGCAAGGGACCTCAGAGGTCATCTAGTCCAACCCTCCCTGCTCGAGCAGGAGACCCTAATAGAAACACAGGACAGAGTTCAAAGGGACCTTGGAGGTCATCTAGTCCAACCCCCCTGCTCGAGCACAAGACCCTAATAGAATAACACAGTTGGAAGGGACCTCGGAGGTCATCTAGTCCAACCCCCCCTGCTCGAGCAGGAGACCCTAATAGAAACACAGGACAGAGTTCAAAGGGACCTCAGAGGTCATCTAGTCCAAACCCCCCCCCCGCTCGAGCAGGAGACCCTAATAGAATAACACAGTTGGAATGGACCTCGGAGGTCATCTAGTCCAACCTCCTGCTTGAGCAGGAGACCCTAATAGAAACACAGGACATAGTTGGAAGGTACCTCATAGGTCATCTAGTCCACCCCCCCCACTCGAGCAGGAGACCCTAATAGAATAACACAGTTGGAAGGGACCTCGTAGGTCATCTAGTCCAACCCCCTGCTCGAGCAGGAGACCCTAATAGAAACACAAGACAGAGTTCAGAGGGACCTCGGAGGTCATCTAGTCCAACCCCCCTGCTCGAGCACAAGACCCTAATA